ACAGGCTGCTCAGCCTGGCGATGCGGGCACCTACCGCTGCCTTGCCAAGGCCTATGTCCGAGGGTCTGGGGCCCGGCTTCGTGAAGCAGCCAGTGCCCGCTCCCGGCCCCTCCCTGTGCACGTGCGAGAGGAAGGTGAGAGGGGCGGGTTGGGCTTGTAGAACCCCTTTCCTTTCGTTACTTTGCCTCTCTCCCTCTCCATCAGCTGCCTCCGTGCCTTAGCCTCATACTCTTAAGACTGCGGACACGTTGAATTTCCTGGGGTGTTGCTTGGACAGCAGTCCTGACCCTCTGATTTCGTGGTCTTTGTTGTGCAGGCATGGTGCTGGAGGCTGCGGCGTGGCTGGCAGGAGGAGCAGTGTACCGTGGGGAGACCGCCTCCCTGCTCTGCAACATCTCTGTACGGGGTGGCCCCCCTGGGCTGCGGCTGGCCACCAGCTGGTGGGTGGAGCGACCTGAGGCTGGGGAGCTGAGCTCGGCCCCTGCCCAGCTGGTGGGCAGTGTGAGTCAGGATGGTGTGGCAGAGCTGGGGGTCAGGCCTGGAGGAGGCCCCGTCAGCGTGGAGTTTGTGGGGCCCCGAAGCCATCAGCTGAGACTACATAGCTTGGGGCCCAAGGATGAAGGCATGTACCACTGTGCCCCGAGCGCCTGGGTGCAGCACGCCGATGACAGCTGGTACCAGGTGGGCAGTGCCCGCTCAGGGCCTGTCACAGTCTACCCCTACATGCATGGTGAGTGACTCCCGCCCTCCCCTCCTCACTTACCACCTTCCTCCAACCCCATGCTCTTACTCCTCCCTTTCCATCGGATCCTCCTGCTACTGTCCCCTTTCTCTCCACATCACTTCGCACCAAGTCTTGAAAACCCAGCTCTCAGTCCCCCAGTGCCCATCTGCCCCAGGGTCCTTGGTGGTGGAGGTTGGCTTGAGTGCAGGAGGGGCAGGGCATGGGCTGGGAGGGCTGTCTGTGACTGGGGAGGAGGTGGGTGCAGACAGCTTGATGGAGAAGGTGCTGAGACTTCAGCGAGACAGTGCGTGGAGGGTACTGGCACCCCAGACTGAACACAGCTATTCTCTCACCCAGCTCTGGATACCCTGTTCATGCCCCTGCTGGTGGGTGCAGGGGTTGCCCTAGTCACCGGCGCCGCCATCCTTAGCACCATCACCTGCTGCTTCATGAAGAGACTGCGAAAACGATGATCCGTTGCCCCTGGCCCAGGTGAGGGAAAAGAACCCCCAGCCTTGCCTTCTCCAGCCCTGGGTGAGCTGCTTGCTGCTTAGCCCGTCTGGAGGGGGAGCCAGCTCACAGTTCTCTGCAGGACCCTGTTCAGGGGGAGGGCTGGGAGGGAGCCCCAGTCAGGGCTCTCTGTAGCCCACTCCACACTTTCTAGTTCTCACAGGTGTTTGCTGTCTTCTGGCCCAGCTCCAAGCCCACCTCTGGATGTCTGGATCCCCCCTCCATCTGTCCACACTTTCTTTAATTTATTTGACCTACCTGCTCTCAGAGTGGGGGGCATGGCGTCCATTCCCGACTCCTTCCTTCCTGATTCCTCCCTCTGGCTTTCTGTCTTGATCTCATACCCAGCCGGTAGGGAGGCCTTCCCTGTCCTATAATTTGTTTTTCTAAAATGTGAATAAACATGTTTTATAAAATCCAGGACTGGCTGTGTCTTTCCTGCCATCAGGCTATAAGAGGTTTGGGGTGTGTGGCAGGGAGGTTTGTTGGGGGTTGCTAACCTATTCTGGATGGCCCAGGCCTCTCTCCCCACCACAAACACCATCTGGCCTATGTGGGCTGTGCCGCCACCCCAGGAAGGGACACCTGGGTCCCGTCTGCTGCCTTACCTGTCAGTGCTGAGCCAACTCCTACTGAGACTCCTTTTCAGGATGCATGGGGGGAGTACAGAAAGGGGAGGGTCCCCTCTCCTAGCTTCTCCTAGGTTGCAGGGCACAGACTTCTTGGGGCCAGTGCCCCTTCTGAGTTCCCGACACTACTCTGCACTCTCATTCTGCTGGTCCAGCTGGCCTCGGACCTAACTCCTCCCACTGGCCCTGGGGCCTCAGCCTTTTTCCTCTTGATCTTCATCATTGTTTGACAGCTGCTGAAGCCCCAGAACACAGCCCTACGTGGGTGGTGGGTACACCAGTCAGGAGAGGCCTGTGTGTCTAGAGTCCCTATGGACACCTGCCCCCATAGCCTGCAGCACCCCCTGCCTTGCCTCACCCCTCCGCCTGAGGGTTTTTTAATCTTAGAATTCTTACTGCACCTTAGGAGGCACCCAGTTCTACCTTTCTTTTTTTCTAATCATTATATATGTATATAATTTTTTTCAGTGTACCTCATTCAATTCGGTTATTTAAACATTTATTGAGCATTACTAGTTTGCTAAGTATTTTTACAGATGGGGAAACAGGCCCAGTGAAGTGGTGTGACTTATCCAGAGTTATAGACTAATTGGTGACAGTGTCAGGACTAGAACCCAGGTCTCCTGGCTCTTTACATGGTACCCAGGGGTGACCTGAGTGGCGAGGAAAGGTATGGTGGAGTGTCGGTGACTCCCATCAATTGCAGTGGATTAACTACTGTGTGAGTGTGGTGTGGATGCAGATAACCCACTCCCTGCTGTCCAGACTCCAGCCTTTCACTGAATTAAACCAAAGTGACTCCCCACCCTGCATCCCAACATTTGTTCTTCAGGTGACGCTAGGGTTCCAGGATCTCATCTTGGATAGATGGTGACTCAGGTGGCCCTGAGTCTGGGGAAAAACAGCCCTGTGTGCTCACTTCAGGCTGGGAAGCTGAGGTCTTGCAGACTTTAATAAAGGACAGGAGTGGGGTGTAGCCGGTGTCAGCATGCCTGCTTGGGCACACTTCTCTCAGGCCAGCCTCAGTTCCCCTGTAATTCTACTTCTCAACTTGCCATTGCTCTCCCCTCAGCATCCTGGGCGGCGGCCCTTGGTGACTGGGATGACACAGGAAGGGGTGGACATGGAATGGGAATAGCATCTGCAGGGGCTCCTGTCCCAGCTGGGCAGACTGCAGGCCACAGACTCAGCCAGATGTTGGATGCCTCACCTCCCACATGTACTCTTGCCTCTGAAGTCCTACAAGGGTGTATCTGGCATGTTCATTGTAGCATCTTTACTGCAGACATCTTTGCTGGAAGCATTTCTGCCTGAAACATTTTCAATGGGTAACTAACTGGCCCCAAAGCAATTTTGTTGTGAGAGGGATAAAAATAACTCTGGGAGTTTTTGGGGGGAGGGGAGATGTTGTTTGTTTGGTTTCATTTCTCCATTCATGAAGTTCTCAAAGTGCTCCCATTGTTACATTACATGTAAATCTTAGCTAGTGTCCATAATGGTTTATATGTGCGCGGCGCTGCTCTTAAAACTGTTAGCATTTCTTTCAGATGACGATGATCTGCCCCAAGAGCTGGTTTGTTATTTTGAAAGACACAACATTGGGGGGAGAAAGAAGAGGCTGAGGTCCCTCTTTGAAGGCACAGAGTTGAACACACATTGCCCACAGAACTAAGACAAGGAGTTTGGTACAACCACAACATAAAATCAGTGATTTGCACAGTACTGCCATGAGCCTGCACCCTTTTAAAATATATTTGAATGCCTTGTATTTTGCAATTAGCTCTTTTATTTTTTTTCCATTACCACTTATCCCCTCTATGCCCGTTAATGTCCTTTTTAATGGAAAAATTGCCTTATAGCCAATCAGTTATGTGGCGAAATGTTTGGGGCAAAGATGCTACTGTGAAAGTAAGAGTCTACAGGGGATTCCCTCCTTTCCTTCCTGCTGCAGCTGCCCACCACCTCCCCAGAAGCCCTTCAAGGCCTCCCGACTGTCTCCTCCCATCTGACTTGCCTACTTCTCTTTCCCAAACACTGTCTCCAGTTGTCACTGCCCTGTTTCCACGTACGGGTGAGTTCCTGGGCCTAGGCTTAAAATCATCTGCCTGGATTTCAGGGTCCCCTTCCCCCCCCCACAGGACCCCACCTTTATATTTCCGGTCTCCACCGCGTGCATGCCCCACCTCCATCCAGTCTTTGCTTAGAGCAGTGGTTCTCCAGCTATCGTCCCCATTCCAGCAGTGTCAGCATGACCTGGGAACTTGTTAGAAGTGTTTGGTCTCCACCTCAGATCTATTGAGTCAGAAGCTCTGGGAGTTAGCCCATTGTCTGTTCCCACAAGCCCTCCAGGTGACTCTCAAGTGTTATAGCTGATGGCTTAGCTCATTCTCTGTGCCTTGCTCAATACCTAGCTATCTGATTACCAAACCCTTCTACCCCTGCTCAGAGACTGCTCAGGTTCTCAGTGGGAAACACCCGCCGTGGGCATATTTCTCTGTTTTTCCCATGTGCACTATATTCTGAGATAGGAAATGGGCTTCTGACTGTCCATCCCCATGTGCCCCGTTCAATGTTCTATACCCAGTGGACACCCAGGGAATGATATGAATGACTCCCTCTTCACTGTGCCCCAAGACTAATTCTGATTTCCCAAGGGCCCTTGCGTCCCAACTCTAATGAACTCATCTCTCAATCTCTCCCGGGCTCCCTTTCCCCTCAGAACCTCTCTCTTCCCTCCTACATCTGCAGAGGTACCTATGAAATCTCACTCCACTGTCAGAAAACAGCTCTCCTTCCCCAGGGCCCCAGCCCGAGCAGCTCCCCACTTCCTGTTTCCCTGCACAAGGTCATTCACACCCTGCTGAGCCACCCCTACAGCCTTTCATCCTCCCATTCAGCCAGTCACAGGGGTAGGGGTGGTGCTGGGAGGACACCCTCCTCATCTCTACCCACCTCCATCCAGCTTTCTCTCCTCTGGGTCAGCTGGGGCTACTGTAACCAGTGAGACCGGTGTGCCAAACCTAGGGAAGCTGGCCCAAGAGGTGAGTGGGGATTAAAATCCGGCCACACTCTGTGCCCCAAGCCATTCATCCTGGGTTGGGGTGGTGTCAGTCTGGAGGAAAAGGGTGTATTTTTAGAATTTGTACAAAGACGCTCTATGGGTTAGCAGCAGCCCTGACTGCACCATTTGTCTGTCAGTCCATTTACCTACCCACCAGCTGTCTCTCTATCTGCTTTCATCTTCCCATCTAGTCTACATAAGTCCATCCTTCTGTCCATCCATCCACTCATGGACAGATGTGAAGGTCAAACCCAGACAGGCCGGCAAGTTCACTCATCTCCATTCTCCTGAAATCAGAATCCCTTCCTTCCACATTGGATCCTGGACTTGAGATTCTGAGGGGCCTCTCTAGCCTTAGCACATTCCTAAGGACTCTTTTCCACCTTCAATATCCAGCTCCCTAGGTACCTGTGTCTGGTCCTGCCACAGAGATCCGGAAGAAACTGATCACACCTTGGACTCACTCTCTGGGGGTGGCAGGCAGCCATTCTGTTCCTTGTCAGCCCCAGCCTCTCCCACTGCCCCCTCCCCTGCCCCTTCCTTTGCCCTCTCCTCCTCCACTTTCTCATCCAGTCTGCTGGGGATAGACCAGTAGAGATGGGCGTCAAGGCGGGCTGCTGCCTCAGCCAGCTCCCGGGCACTGCACGAGGGTGTGGGCACCTCAAAAGTCTGGTGGAAGCTGGCATAGTCCACCTCGTAGAAGCCATCCTCCAGGGTCAGCACTGATGTGAAGCGGTGGCCCCACAACACCTCATCCACCAGGTAGGAGCTCCGAGCTTGACATGTCATTCCTGGGGGGAGGGGCATGGGTCAGGGGGATCCCAGCCTCAGGCTTCCCTCTCCTTCCTCTCACTCCACAGCCCTATTCCCAGCACCTTTCCTCATATCCCTCCCCAAGGGCTTCCTCCTTTTTGGTCCAGCCCACTTTCTTCCCCTTCTCAACTTCTGTACTTGCCCAGCTCACTCATCCCTTTCCCATTTGTCTAACTCCTCTTCATCTTCACCCCACTCTCTCCCTGCCTCTCTGCTGGAGATGCCATCAGAGAAGCTTAACCTTAAAATTGACCTTGGGGACCATCTAGTCCAACTTCCCTCTTTTTTCAGGGCTCCCCACTGGAGCATTACCAGTTGTGGGCATCTGGCTTACATTTGATTACTTCCCAGAATGGAGAGCTTACCACCTTACAAGGTGCCTACTCCTTTGCATGATGGCTCTAATAGTTGAGTTGTTCTTTATACAGAGCTAAAATCTGCCTCCCAGGATTTTCACCCTTTGGTTTTACTCCTCTGCCATATGATACCCCTTCAGGTATCTGAAAAGAGGAGTCTCAGGTTCCATCATGGCTTCTCTTCTTCAGCCTGAACATCCCTGTCACCCTCCACCATTCCTCATGTCACCTGGCTTCCCAAAATTTTACTTTCTTGGCTGTAAACCAGAATGGCCAAGGAGGATCCTTTAAGCAGTTTGTGATAAGTACTCCAATCAAGGCCTGATCCTTGCATGAGGGCTTACCACCTCTCTTTTGGCCATGATGCTTTAGCGAATAGGGCCCAAGACGACATTACATAAACGTTTTGGAAGCTGTATCACATTGCTATGACATTAAGCCTGTGGCCAACGAAACCCTTAGTTCTTTTTCACCAGAGCTCTCCCATGCTGTGCTTACATAACTGATTTTTTTTTAAAGCCTAAATGTAGACTTTTATATTTACTCCTTTTAAATGTCATCTTGTTGCATTTTGGCTCATTATAGTTGCTTTTCAAAAGCATTTGGGTCCTGACTCTCACACCCAAAATAATACCATCTTTTCCAGCTCTGTCACTAGAGAAGTCAGACAAGCTCCCAGCCTCATCTTCTCCACGCCACTCTCCTTGCCCTGAGCCTGTGTCCTGTCCTCCCTGTTGGGTGGGCACACCCCCAGGGCAAGTGGTTCTCCTCCTACCCCAGGGTCTCTCCTATTCACCTCAGCCCATGCTTACCTCAGAACAAGGGGGAACAGAAGAGCGAACATCAGCTAACCAGAGACTGGCTCTCACCATGGCAAGCCCCACAATGAGACATTTTAGGGTCACTGGTATCCTTCCTTCCTTTGATGAAGGCTGGAATAGGAAGAATCCAGTGGGGGAGGAGAAGAGGCCAAAGGGAGAGAGGGACTAAGATGAAGAGAGGGAGGGAGTGTTTGGATACAAAGGGAGAAGAGAGCTGGGCAGGGCCATCTTTGTAAGGGGTTGCCTCAAGAACTGGCAAAACTGAACTGGAGGAATAGAGGGAAGAAGGGCTGGGGTGAATGGAGGAGGGAAAGAACTAGGGGAAATCTGGGGGTGGTGACGAAGGAAAGGGGGACGCTGAGGCAGAGGATGGTGTGTAGAGGCCAGGAAGGGGCCAGGAAGGGGCGTGAGGGAGAGGCTTGCGGGAGAAGCCAGCACGGTGCAAACCCTCTGACAACAGTGTCAGGGACTCTGTGGGCCTTTGTTATCCACCTGCAGTTTTCTAGTCGTCCTCCCACTCCTAGATCTCCAGTCCCAAAGGACCTCATTGGCTGCCCCCAACTGCCCTGCTTCCAAGCCCTTCACTGTAGGCCTGAATTGGAGGCACTGACATCACAGGTGCATTGCTAGCTTCTCCTGGGAAACTGCTAGAGATGCTAAGAGCATCTATTTCCTTTGTCAGTGGGAGCTGAAAATATTTTGATGGACGAGGAAACGGAGGCAGAAGAGAGACCAAGTATCAACCTCTCATTAAAGTCCAGCCTAGGAATAACACGGGACATGGAAAACCCCTCACCACCAAATCCCAGGGGTCTGGACCTCTCAGAATGGCAAAAACTGGGAACCCAGCCCCCCTTCCAATCTATACCACTAAACACTGAAGCCAGGCTGAGTGTGTCCTCTCCAGGTGCAGCCACTTAATAGCTTGTGGCTGTGGACAACCTATTTAACCTTTGGTTGGGACAATCTCTTCTCTGAAAAAATAAGCCCAATATCAAGAGGTTCCCCTCGAGGGGTTCTCGTTAGGATGAAATGAACTCAAGGGTGTCAGGTGCTTTGGAGCCGTGCCGGGCAGTGAAGCGCCGGGTGAGTGGTGGCTGTCGTTAGGCCTCTGCCCTATTCCCAACAACACAGACTTCTCAGCCCAGGGCCCTCGGCCAGGCCCACTTTGGGGAACCTCTCCCAGCTTTCTCTGGCCTCTCTGCAGGGTCACTCTGCTCACATGCCCCCCAACCGAAGCCCCCATCTCACCTCATTCTCTCACCCTCCGCCAGCTTCTCGGTCTAACCTGGCCCATGGCCCATGGCCCCTCCTCTCGCCCCGCCCGCCCGGGCCCCGCCTGCCCCCGCCCCCCGCCCGCTGCCCCGCCCGGCTCCCCGGCTCCTGCCGTCGCACCCGTGGCTTCCACCATGCCCTCGAGGATGACCACGATCTCGAAGTCGTCTCTCTCGAGGGCGCGGCGCGATGCCTCCCAGAAGGGGCTGGCGGCGTCGATCTCGTGGCTGATGACCAGCGGCGAGACGAGGAAGAGGCGGTCATCGCCGGTGTCGAAGCCCACGCTGAGGTCGGTCTGGTGCAGCGGGATGAACTCGCCCTCCATGGTCTGGCGCGAGCGGATGAGCTTGGCGCGGATGGAGGCCTCCACGATGTGCGAGGAGCGCAGGTCGCCCACGCGGAACATGAGGCAGAGGCGGCCGTCGCGCAGCGACACCACGGCGTGCGAGGAGAAGACGAGCGTGGCGGCGCGCTTGTTGGGCTGCGAGATCTTGACGAACATGCAGCCCACCATGAAGGCGTTCACCATGGAGCCCAGGATGGCTTGCAGCAGCAGCAGCACGATGCCCTCGGGGCACTGGTCGGTGATGACGCGGTGGCCGTAGCCGATGGTGGTCTCCGTCTCGATGGAGAAGAGGAAGGCGGCCACGAAGCCGTTGAGGTTGTTGACGCAGGGCGTCCAGGCCGTGTCCTCCAGGTGCTCCAGGTCGCCGCGGCCGTAGGCGATGAGCCACCAGATGGCGCCGAAGAAGAGCCAGGTGAGCGCGTAGGCGAGCACGAAGAAGAGCAGGCTGAGGCGCCAGTGCAGGTCCACCAGCGTGGTGAACAGGTCGGTCAGGTAGCGGTACCGCTCGCGCATGTTGCCCTGCTGCACGTTGCACCGGCCGTCCTTCTCCACGTAGCGCTGGCGGCCGCGGCGGCGCGGCCTGACCTCCTGGCCGGCCGGGGAGGCGGCGTTGTCCTTCGCCATGGCGGCGGCGGGCGGGGTCACCGGCGGGGTCGGGGTCCGCTCCGCCGCGGTCCGCCGCCGCTCGGCCGCGGCCCGGCTCCTGCAGGGACTGAGAGATGGACCTAATTAACGACCCGCGGGAGAGGCGGACACCCGGCGGGCGCGGGGGGCGAGGGGCTTGAGCGACGCTCTGCGTGCCTCTGGCCTCAGTCTCCACGTCAGTAGAATGGGAACGGTGCGTACCACCCTGCTGCCCGCCCCACCCGCCCCAGCTCACAGAATCGCGAGGATTAAGTGGGACAGCACTCTCCAAGTTTGACTATTGTTTTCAGGGGAAGGAGGCACCAGAGACCTTGGCCCTGCCACCTCCGACTAGGGTGTGCAGCACCCCACCGGCATTCCAGGGGAAAGGCCCAGGCGGGGGGCAGCTTCGGAGATCACTGGACGGTGGGCTCCTGGCAGCTAGCTTTCTCTGCTGCAGTGCTTTCAACCTTGTCATCTCATGGCACACGTAAACTGATTACTAAAATTCCGTTGCACACCAAAACACATTTTATGCTGATGTGACAAAAACAAAAAAATAGGTATACGTTTGATTCATTCACACCAGATAGCTATTGTGTTGGCTGTTGTCACTTTTTAATTTGACAGTGTAAGGGACAAGAGGTCAGTGCTCCTGACTAGTCATATATCGCAGGTTTTAAAAAACTGTGTCACACCAGTATGCAGTGGCATATTGGTTAAAAATTGCTGCTCTGCTGCACCCCCTTCCCCCACCTTTGTCAGGTCAGTCCCCTAATCAACGTTCTCCACAATTCAATCTGACGGTCTAACCAAGCTCTTCTGGAGTTCACCTCAAGACTGACAGACACACAGAAAGTCTTTCCCAGTTCCTTCCTCTTGGGACTTCACTTACTCTATCTCCACCCACATCTTCCTCCTCTCAATAAGCTTGCAAAGGAGAGATGGAAGTGGCGGAGAGTAGGCGAAACATCTCCAGTGGGCAAGAGTTGAAAATCCTCACTAGGAAATTCCCACTGGAAACCCTCCCTGAGCACTATCCATGCGCATAGCTACTGTAGAATCACATTTTCCTTGGGTTCTTTTCACGGTGGAGACAGCCTGGAAATGGGCCAGAGGACTGGAGGATATGCCATCAACACAGATGCCCGGGGTAAAGGAAGCACAGAGTTCATTAGGAGTTAGGCTTGTAGCCTTCTGCTCTCTGGTTCTTCATGAGATGTAATAGATCAGGTCCAGTGAAGCACTAAGCACCCACATTTACCTCCCCCTTCCCTCCGGTTCTTTCCCCACAGCATCCTACTGCCTATCCTAACAACCGCTCTGCCTGCCCCCACGCACCACATTCCAAGAGAAGCCCACCTGATTTTGCCTTAAATGCTTGCTCTGGAAAGAGCTCTCTGAGCTGCAGTCTGCTCTGAGAGAGAGATCCAGGACCCTCCCCCAGGCACCCAGGGGCCCCGAGGAGACGTGGACCATACATATTCTAAACAAGGAAAGGTTTAGCATAAGGATTTGAGACTTTTCAACCTATCCTTCTTCCTGGGAATCATCCTTTCCCCCACTTCAAGGAACCCTGCGCTGTCTGGGGTGGGGTTTGGAAGGGAGGAGTGTGACAGGAGGAGCACAGATGGCTTGGATGTTTGACCAGGTCCTGAGGAGAAACAACCTGGACATGTAATCCCAAACCCGGCACTCCAGAATTTGTTCTTGGGTGAGGTACTTGCAGTTAGACCTTTGGAGGTTGTGTGCGCGCACGTGCATGTGTGTGTGCGTGTGCATGTGTATGTGTGTATTGGGACAGAAGGAGAAACCAACACAAGATATCTTAGAGCTTAGGGCACCCCCACATTTATTTTCCATGAGGAGTCAGGGGACACGGGGTCTAGGAGCCACAATGCAATGGCAGATTAGGGTCTTCCCTTCCCCCAGCAGTGGACTTCCCTGTCCATCTCTGCAGCCCAGGATGTCCTCAAGAAGTGAGCTCTAAGCCCTGAACAGCTCACACACCACAGGTCATGCAAAGTACCTGAGTCCCACTTATCCCAGCTTTAGGTGGACTTCCAGATGTTCTCTCAAATATTAGGTAATCCAACCCCTAATTGGCCTGCTGAGACAGACCTCTCTGCTCAGGAGTGGGGAAGGAACCTCAGAGTCTGATCACCTCCAGAACTCTCTTGCTCTTTATTGCCCCAGGGACCTAGGTGAGCCTTACTTTGATCGTGTCTCCTTTTTTCCCCTGTCTTCCTGAGTGTGTGTGTGTGTGTGTGCGCGCATGTGTGTGTGTGTGTGTGTGTGGGGTGGCATTCTTCTTAGTTGGGAGGGAAAGGTGTGAAATTATTATCTCTATTCCAACATCAAAGAATTGATTTCTGCACCTTCCCTCCAGAGAGTCTTGTTCCTCCAGCCTACTCCTTTTTATTTTTTGCTCATACTGTGACCCCTTTCCCGAAGACTCCAGTGCCACGTTTTCCTGGATCTCCCTTTCTCTCCCTAAGAAGTGTTTGCCAGCAAGGAGGCTTAATTTTTGGAAGGAGATCTGGTGAAAACTCCCTCAGGAATCAGCTCTTCCCAAACCCCCACTTGCCCTGGAAGTAGGTGCCCAAACCCACTCCCCCCCGACTCAACTCACAGCGTGTGGAGAAGAGAGCAGCCGGCAGCAAAGACCCCTGGGGGGAGGCGTCCATGCCCCTGACACCGCTCTCACACCCCAGTCCCCTTGCAGGGTGAGAGCCGAAGACACCGCTGTTTCTCCTAAATGTAGCAGCAGCTCTGACTAGGACTTGCTATCTGTGTCATCCCCACTTCCCAGGCTCCCCTGCTCCTCTCCTGTTTCCACAGCAACCAGTCTGGCGATAGCTCTGGAGCATCCCCCTCCCCTCTCCAGTCCTGGGTACCACTAGAGGCTGATCCACACGCAATCGTTATTTTTAGCCAAAGTCCCTCCTCTTGGACAACTCAGAGCTTGCGTTCTCACCCCCTCAGGAAAGAATGGAAGAAAGAAAGGAAGAAAGAAAAAAGCTAGCATGCTTGCTCTGGGAAAATACGTGCCCTGACATGTTTGGGAATGAGGTGTTTGGTTTCCTGGGAATTCAAAGGGCATGTGGGAGCTGGCAGCTTATCACTTCCAAGAGGTGCCTGTGGGTACAGGTGCTGCTCTCAGGTCAGGCCCAGCACACAGAGGCTACCCGGATCCAGAAAGAGCCAGCTAGAGGGAAAAAGGATCCACCCGAGGAAGGGAAGCGGGGAAAGGGTTCCTAATCCTTAGTTGATCCTTAGTGCCTCATCCTTAGTTCCTCATCCTTAGTTGATCACGAATTTGTGATGTGACCCACAGGAGTCGCTTCACTTCCCTTAGCCACAGTGGTTCCATCTATCACAGGGTGTGGACATGTGCAAACAGCTCCTTCCCACCTACTTCACAGGTGTGCAGATCAGATGAGGCAATTTATAAATAGGTCTTTGAAGTTAATTTTGCTAATAGTGAAAAGTCTAGAAACCATTTAAATGTCCAACAGAGAGAAAAGACTAGGTTAAAGCTTACTATTCATTCAACAAATGTTAGTGGAGTCCAAATGCCAAGCAATGTGCTAGGTGGGGGTGGTTACAGAAATGAATATGTCTCTGCCCAGAACAGCTCATGGTCCAAGGGGGAGATAGACCCCTAAGCACATAATACTAACACTACTGCTAATTATTTGTTGAGCATCAGCTATGGAGTAGATACCTCATTTAAAAACCCTGTGAGATACTCAATGGGATAGGTATTATTTTCTTCATTTATGGATGAGAAAACTAAAACTGAGAAGGGCTGAATGATTTACCAAATGTCGCAAAGTTTGGATCATGGCAGAAATAGTAGTCAAACTCACACATCTGTGTCACCCACCCCCATGCTCTTTTCACAAAGTTACTCTGCCTCAGTAATGTAATGTCTGTGGCATATCAATATAATTGGTTGCTATGTTTATATATGTAAATGTGCATGTAGGCACACTGTTACATAAAAAAGCATTAAAATATTCTTATAAATTGATCATAACTGTATAAAAATAGCTGTAGGAACACTGATAATGGTAAGGAAAATAAATTTGGAGAAATGAAGCCTGGCAGATGTGGCTCAGTGGTTGAGTGTTGACCCACGCACCAAGAAGTCAGTGGCACATGCCCAGCTTGTGGGCCAAATCCTCAGTGGGGGACATGCAGGAGGCGGCCAATCAATGTTCTCTCTCATCAATGTTTCTATCTCTCTCTCCCTCTCCCTTCCTTTCTCTCTAAAATCAATAAAGACTTTTTTTTCCCTTAAATTTGGAAAAGTGTAAATAGTTCAATGTTCATTTTTTTCAGGAAAAGAATTGAAAGCAGAGAGTGGTATACAAACACCAGGTGTTGTTATTGTCAGTATTATTATTGATCTGTTCTCCAGATTCCTTAAAGTTGGAACAAGAAGATATGATCTAGAAAAGCAGGAAGAGATAGAAATGGACACCAGAAGGTTAAAAGTTCCTGGAGTGAACTGGCAAGGTACTAAATAATATAATCTCTGGAGGCAGTGACCTGAGTTCAGATCCCAAGTCTGTCCACTACCAGCTGGGTGACTTTGAGCAAGTCACTTAACCTCTCTAAACAATTTCTTCACCTAGAAGATGAAAATAACCATGTTATCCATCTTTTGGGGTTGTCATGAGGATTACGTGAGGTGATGCCTGGCATATTGTAGATACTCAGCAAACACTCACTGCATCTTTCTCCTCCTCCTGGTCATGACCCTCACCATCTCAGGCATCTCCTGAGATCTGCCTTCCTCTGTTCTAGTGCCATCCAGTGAGACCTGCAGGGGGCACTCCTGGTACATGACCCTCCTCTCCCCAGCTCTCTGCTGGTGTTTCTTGTTCCAAGTGGAAATATCGAGTTTTGAGCCGAGATTGGCATCAGGAGGGCTGTTAAAGCCCCAGTCAACATCCCGTCTCCTGGGCCTGGCTCTGTCACCTGAGCCTGGG